CGCCAGCTTCCATCTTCCTGAGCAAAATCGGCCACAGTAGCATCCTTCAGGTCCGTCGGGATTTCACCAAGGGCCACCTCTCGCAATGGAACCTGCAAAACCCAAGGGTCATTCCAAAATTTAGTGCTTCTACCATTCTTAATATTCCACGCACACCCATTTTTGAGGATGGGGATAGCTTTAGAGAAACTGGTCCAGGTGAAGGAACTTCCCTGAACAGGACGGAGCAAGCTAAGCCCTTGTCTCTGTCTCCCGTACTTCGCCTGCATAACTTGCGTCCATAACGTATCTTTATCCTGCATTAGGCGCCATCCCCCTTTAGCTAGCATGGCCAGGTTAGCTAACCTCTTTGGTCTGAGGCCCACTCCACCTTGATCTTTTGGAGTTGTCATCTTCTCCCACGCCACCAGGTGCATCCTGCTTTTATCCGGTTCATCGCCCCAAATAAAATCTCTGTTCATCTTGTCAATGTTTTCGCCGACTTTGTTGGGGATCATCTCAGTCTGCATGTTGTACACAGGCAGGAAAGCAGAGACCGACTTGGTTAGAGTGAGTCTTGCAGCAAAGGAGAGGCGTTTGGCTTTCCACGGCGCCATCTTCTTTTGGATGCGGAGAATGAGAGACTGATATCTCTCACTAGACACTCGCTCCTGAATCGCTTGAATGCCCAGATATCTCCCAAGAGCAGCTTTAAGAGGGATACCCGCGTGCTGGCTCAGTCTCGAAGCCCTCTGCCGATTAATGTTAGGAGAGACATATAAGATCGACTACTCGTAGTTCACCTTCTGGCCCGAGCTAGAACAAAAGTCCTCCAAGCAATCTTTCACCACCTGAATCTGCCTAGTCTCTGCTTCCGCGAAAAGGAGAAGATCATCTGCAAAGAAAAGATGTGTAAGAGGAGGGCCATTAGCAGAGAGCTTGATCGCTTTCCACTGACCCCCATTCACCGCCTCATCTATTCTGTGAGATAAACGTTCCATGCAAAGGACGAAAAGATAGGGTGAAAGAGGATCTCCCTGACGGACACCACGAGACGGCGTGATCGGTTGAGAGAGCTCGCCATTCCAAAGAATGCGCATCTTGTTTTGCTCCACACAGGTCATGATGCAGTTGATCCATGAGCTGGGGAGGCCAACCTCCTTGAGAGTGTCCCTCAGGAAGTCCCACCTAAGTCTGTCGTAAGCCTTCTCCAGATCAATCTTGAAGATTAGCCCTCCTTTCTTTCCTCTCCTCTTCTCCAAAGAATGTAGGACTTCCTGGACCACGATAATATTATCAGTCGTCTGTCTGCCTGGGATGAAACTGCTCTGTCTAGGTGACACCAGCTTCCTCATAATGGGCTTTAATCTGCTGGTCATAGCCTTCGTGATCGCCTTGAGTCTGACATTGTTGAGAGAGATTGGTCGAAGTTGGGTGACTTTCTCAGGGACATCAACCTTCGGAATCAGCACTAAGGTAGACTCCGTAATGGCGTCCGGGATAGAACCTGTAGAAAAGAAAGACAGATCCATATCCGACAACTTTTTTCCAACAATTTCCCACAAATGCTGGTAAAAGACCGCGTGGTATCCATCCGGTCCGGGCGCTTGAAACGGCTTCATCTCAAAGATCGCACTGTGGATGTCCTGGATGGTGAAGGGGCGAAGCAGAAGAAGCATTTCCGACTGGTTCAGCCTCGGAAACGCCTGCTTGGGAAGTTTATCTTCATAGGGGATGTTCTCCTGCAAGAAAAGATTAGCAATAGACTCAAAAACAAGAGAGGCCAAGGCTCGAGGATCTGTCACCCAGTTATCATTGGCATCCTGAAGGGCTTCGATCTTGTTCCGGCGTCTTCTAATGTTTGCTAGTTGGTGGAAGTAGGCCGTGTTGCGCTCACCGAACTTCACCCACTTCTCTCTCGAACGCTGGAACCAAAGAACCTCCTCCTGCTCAAGAATCTTGTCTAATTCCACCTCGAGTTTAGATCGAAGCTTGGCTAGACCAGGAATAAAAACGTCCGTCATTCTGGAGTCGACCCCTTTGATCCGAGCAAGTAACTGATTCTTCTTCTTCTGGATACTCCCAAACACGTTGGCATTCCAATCCTGTAACTTCACCGCCAGGCTCGCGATCGAGGCATGAAATTGACTATCGGGGTCCCAGGCTGTTGACACCAGACCCTTTAGATTGGTATCTGTAAGCCAAGCTGCCTCGAACAGGAAGAGGCGGCTGCTGTTGTGGTTTCCGCCGAGGGGAGAGGTGGACGTCAGGAGAGGAAGGTGATCTGAGTGAAGCCTAGGGAGGTGCAGAACCGAAGTGCTTGGAAAGGCCTCATTCCACTGTAAGTTGCAGAGGCTTCTATCTAGCCTGCTGGCCTTAAAAGTTTGAGGCTGATCCCCCCTAGTCCAAGTGAATTTCGGACCGGAAAACCCCAAGTCAATCAGCTATGCTTTGTTGATTCTGTTATTGAAAGAGTGACACTTCCTAGCAGTAGCTGCCGTCGGGGGCCCGAATTTCTCCTCTAAGCTGCGGATAGCATTGAAGTCACCACTAAGAAGCCACGGAATATCAATCCATCTGCTCAGAAGAAGGAGATTATCCCAAAGAGTATGTTGTTCACTTGGCCGAGGGGAGGCATAGACAGCAGTTAAGATCCATGGCTGTTTATTCGCTTCCTCCACTCGCAAGGAAATCTGCTGGTCACAAGCCGAAATGAGCTGAGCCGAGAATTTCCGGGCATCCCAGAAAACCCAAATTCCTCCACTTCTTCCATTAGCTTCCACACGAATGGAGTTCGGATAACCCAGCTTGTCACAAGCAGAATTCGCCGTCGTCCCGCTGATTTGAGGCTCCACGAGGATGACGAAGTCGGGGCGATGGGTCTGGATGATAAGCTTCAAAGCACGGATGAAAATTCTGTTACCCGCTCCACCTACATTCCAAGACAGAACTTTTAAATTGGAATTGACAGACATAGGCAAAAGGAAAAGGAAATAGAAAAGGGAAGGAAGAGAAGAGAGAGAAGTCTCAGGCGGTGATATCGGTTTGATCGATGGCATGGGCGGCCCCTGGTTGCTCCTCCGATCGAGATAAAGAGTTGTCACCGCCTGCTTTCTCCGATGTCCCCCTAGCAACATCAGTCCAGGCGTTAATTTCTTGGAGAGTTAGCGCTGCAATTCTCGATCTGGATTTAGTTTTTCGGTCTTTCTTAGGAGTCCAGACTTGAAGTCCTTTCAATGGGCTGAGCTTCGTGGGAGTCCTTCGTTCGCCAGATTGCCGAGCTTTATTTTTCTTAGTTCTCGTCTTGACCGAGGGTGATTGGGATGTGATTCCTTTCTTTTCTTCTGTCGATTTGGGATGGAGATTAACAATCTGCATCGCCGTGCCATTGACGCCGGTAACAGAACTGATCGGAGGGGGAGGAGCAAGGGTCGACGCGGTACCATTTCCTTTACCAGATGTGTGTGTTGAGGACGAAGATAGCATCGGGGGTTGGGTCTTCGATTTTGGTGTAGCAGAGACTTTAGGGAGAGAGTGGGCCGATTTTGAGTCATGGGCCTGGCCCGATGTGGGCTTAGATCCACTACGACTAGCCTTGCTATCCAGTTTCGAGCCCAGAAGCCCCTGCTCCTGGAAATGGGTTTCGTAAGAGACGATTTCTTTCCCTTTCTTCGTCCCGACCCCAGCCTTCTTGCCCGCCCCGCCTTTCCTTTCTGGAGATGGTGGCCGTTGTGATGCAAAGGGGGTAGGTGTCGAGGACATTGGGGGCGTCTGCCTACTTTCCTTAATCACGCCGTCCTGCTTTCCCTGTTTTGGCACAGGCCCACCGTTGGAGCTTCTATTATTGGTCTCGAGTTTCCCTTTTTGGGGGAGATCCCGTGGGTTCCGCCTACTTTTGCGGGAGACGAGCATCCATGGCCCGAATCCTGGGTTCGATTCCTCCGTCCCTTGTTCCGCCGTAGTCACCTGATTCTCCCCGCCGGTGATCGCCAAGGTCGCCGGAGGCTTTGCAATCTGAAGTTGGGGACAGAGCGTAGAGGAATGCCCGATTTTACCGCACTCAAAGCAAACCTCCGGCAGATTTTCATGCTCGACCTTTTGCCACGCATCATCAAGCCAGATACGGGGCACCAGGGGCTTCGACAAGTCCACTTCCACAGCTATTCTGGCAAATTTCGCGCGCTGAACCGTTAGGGTATGATAATCCAGTCGGATAGTCCGTCCAATGAGGTTGCCCATATTAGTCAGAATTTCCTTATGGTAAAAATGAACCTTCAGTGCCGGGAACTGGACCCAAACGATCATCTTCCTCGGAAGAGGATCAGAAACTTTGAAGCTCGGGGTCCACTGTTGTACCGCTAGATAATGATCGAAGATGGTCCATGGCCCGTCTGTGAGTGCTCTAAAGTAGTCTTGTTCGTTGCTGAGTTTGACAAGGAACGCATCCTGATCAAGATCCATGATTTCCAGAGAGCCGCTCGGTCTCCAAATTCCGCGGAGACGAGAGCATAAGGTGGAGTAGCCGATCTTGGTACCAAGAAGTCTGACAACAATGGTGCGCTGCCAGGGAGCACAGATCCTGTCTTTCAACGACGGGGATATATTTAGTGCTGGTTCACCATTTCGGAGCCCAGGAATCAGATCATTTTCTCCAACGGGGGTCCACTGAGTTGTCGGTGAGGGGGCCGAAAGGGCAGGCTGCCAACCCGCAACCGCCGCAGCGTAAGAAAAAAGAGGCTTTGGGTTCGTCGGCGGTGTCAGATCAGGGTCGGGCGCCACTCCTCTCTCCTCCATCGTGGCCATCGAATCAGGTCTGTCGGCTTCTCCCAACAGGGGGACGCCCAAGCTAGAAGAGTCGATAAGCATGTCGGAGGCTATAGAAGGAGGTGTAGCTGATGTCGGAATGAGCAAATTTGGATCCGGAGGCCGGTCTGAAGGAAATAGAGCCGGCGCCGGAGAGGGAGTTCCGCTAGCAGAGGTTGAGAGCATTTTCAGAGAATACCAACAACATTTTACATAATCATAGACTTATATAATACAATGAGTTTACTATACAAAATTGATACAATTAAAGTCCACAGAACAATAGTCGAATCCGATTATCGAACCAAGTGGTGAGACTTTATTGCAAATATGGAATCTTTGTGCATCCAAATAAAAAAAAAATTCCAACTTAAGAAAGTAAAATATCAAATTAATTCACAAAAGTTTTCCATCTCAACCGATATTGCCCCCTTAAACAAAAGAATCAAAATACAAAATGGGAACAATTGCACAAAACACATACTAGTAATTATTACTTAATCGCAATTAAGTACCAACTAATACGTGAGCTCAAACACTCCCTTCCCAGCCTGCCTTCTTTTCCTTCTTCCGGGTCGGGTCTAAACTACGATGTCGTTCATTCGCTTCCCCTTGGCGGGGACGGCAACCACCACGATCACATCGCCGCCGCCGACACCCCCACAATCGCGAATCGGCATCACCAACACGTCGTCGTTTAGCCAGCTCACCCAACACGCGACGCCAGCGGGCTTATTCCCAGCGTAAAATGACACCCCCTCGATCCCCAAATCCTCCCACGTCGCATTCCCGGCGGTAATTCCACCTCCTCCCGGCGGCGGCTTCTTCCCCTCAATTCCCTCCGATTCCGGGCTCCACGTCTTCACCTTCAAGACCGCCGGCGATTCCTTCAGATCCACCACGCGGAAGCTCGAGATCATTTTCCCCTCCGAGCCAAACCTGCGCTGGGCCTCTTCCACGCAGAGCTCCGCAAGTTGGGCCTCCAGGCCCAACTGATTATTGGGCCGCGTGATTTTCAGAATTAAAGTATGGGCCTGGCCCCTGGTCGGGGTCGAGCTGAATGCTTCGAGCGTGAACGACCCATTGGGCTTCAGGTTCGGTAGATAGAAGATGGGGAGGTTGGGTCCGGCGGCGGAGGTGGAGATCATTCCCTTCTGGATTTCCCCCCATTTGTGGAGGAAGTTGCCGGCGATGAGGAGGTCGGCAACGAGCAGGCTGCAGCTGATCCCGACGGAGTATCCGCCGCACTTGAAATTCGTCACCTGCGATCAAGATTTGGTCGGCATTAGGCAAGAGAGCTGTTCACAGAGCCCACGTTGTTGATCTGTCATTCCTAAATTTTTGGGCGCAATCCGTGAGGCCGACCCAAACCCGACTCGTGACACCCACTCGTTATTTATGATGATGAAGAGTTATATGGGTGTTTTTTTTTTTTTTTTTTGAAAGGTGAAGATTTCTATGTTTGTTCCTCTTCTATCATGAATCGTGATTTCTCCTATATAGACATCTGCCATGTATAGACTAAAGTGAAATGACAAACGAATTGTATACCACGAGAGAAACCCAACACCTAAAAGTTGTCCTGTTGTCTTGAGAAACTAGATGAGAAACCATTTAATCAGTAAGCTAAGTATTTCCGGTCATCACTGTTTCGGAGTTACAAATTCATGTTAATGGTATAAATTCAGTTTGTATCATAAAAAAAAATCTGTATAAGTTTAGTTTGTATCATAACATAAAGGTACGAAGCCAGTTTGTATTATAAAGAAATTTGTAATAAAATATATAGGTACAAATTAAATTTATATCATAACGTTAAAAGTACAAGTTCAGTTTGTACCCCAAATGAATTTGTACAAAAAATATAGGCACAACTGAATTTGTACTATGACGTTAAAGGTACAAATTCAATTTGTACCATAACGTTAAAAGTACTGATAATAAATTATTAAAAATTCCTCATATATCATTCATGTCTCTATGAAAATAAAGTTACAGTTTTATATAAATATCCATTTTTGTCAACACAATTCGTATTCTTTCGAAATTTTGAAGTTAACATTTCCGGCAAAGAAATGCAAAAATAGGCTCAATTATCACATAGAAAATATGTCTTATCCAAATAAATAGAGTATTTTTTTACTAAGGAATAAATAGATTATTTATTGAAGTATCTCATACTATAATATGTCGTTGGATACAATTTCATATATACCTGGCGGCTGGCACTAATGCACGTATTCTATCCTTTTATTGTCTTCCTTCTTAAATAGCCAAATTTTAATATAAAATGTAATAATTAGACCTCCTCAATATTAAAATGTAAACTAATGAACATCAATACCACATAAAAAATATCCAATAATTAATCCCAAAATTATTAATTATTACCTGAACGTAGAGCAAGGGAGAGAACTCAGGACTCTGCTCATCAATCTCCTTCCAGAAAACCAGCTCCGCCTCCGCCGCCGCCCTGACCTCCCCCGCCGTCGACATAAACTCCTTCAACCCCACCGCCACCGTCGCCTCCAGCAGCCGGGCTCCGCTATCGTTTGACACAATCTCCATTTCGTCCCCCGTTTTCCTGAGCCGCCCTCCGAGCAGCGGCTGCTGGTTCAGCACCCGGGCCAGCGATTCCTTCATCCACCCGGCCGCAACCCAACCGGAATCCTCACGAACCGACCGGTTGGAGTAGAACAGAACCAGATTGAAACATCCCTTCGTCAGCCCGGCCGCCGCCGGGGACGCATCGGACACGTGGCGGGTCGTCCTAGGCTCTGTTATTCTCGAGGGAGGTACCGTCTGGATTCCTTCCAGCTGCGGTTTTGGGATGATGGTGGTTGTCTTGGTCGCCATTTGTGTTATGTTTTTTCCTTTGCTTTTTTGTTGTCTGTTTTTGTTGGGTTTTGGATGGGGTTTGCGTCTTTGGGGATATACATAAGTTATATTTTATTAATATATATAGAGGAAAGCAGACTTGGTAGGTTGGCTCCACGTAGAGGCAATCTATTGGTAATCACTAACTGAGTAGGGGTGTCTGATCGGGTCGGGTTTGGTTACCCAAACTGAAATCCGATGCACCCGAAAAATCGAAATCGTTATCTTTTGAAAATCAAAAACTCGAAATCGAAACCCGAAACAAAATAAAAAAACCCCATAATGCATCTAACCAGTTGGGTTTCGGTTAAAATTGAAAATCAAACCTGGACATAGTCCATATATATTTGTGCCTAGATCAATAGGGGAATTCACAATGCCATTAACATCAATATTGGTGTAGGTTAACAATCGTTGTTGAGAAATCAGAATACGGTGGAAATTGTTATGTGTCATTACTGAAACCACATAGGGTTTATATAGAGTATAGAGATGGACTTCTACAATAACCCTAATACTAATACGGAAATTGCTTAACTTCTACGACTCTGATAAGAAATATAACTCTGACCAATTAGATAACGGTACTCGTAGTATAATATAATACTACTCGTACTACCCAATACCCATACTCTAATGACTAATACCCTCCCCAAATTGATGGTACTAACTTACCGACAATTTGAAAATTAAAACAAAAAACAACACAACGAGAAAAAACTATAACTATGACACGAATAACTGCTACTAATCTCAAACTTCACGCCAATGTCGAAGAAAACCATGCCCCACCAAAACGTTGATGGTGATGATCACTGGATGCAATGAGATCTCTTGCCAAAACTGCCTTGTCGTTCCAAACACCTGTCCTCCAAACAAGCTCCAAAAACTGACTATCGTGAAAACAAACCAAAGATACCTCGAAAAACATCTTCGAACCAAGAAAACCAAATCACAGAACCATGTATACTCCGAACAGTAACACGGCAAGGATTATATAGAGTACAGTGGCGAACTTCTACAACAACCCTAACACTAATACAAAAATTACTTAACTTCTACGACTCTGATAATGAATATAACTCTGACCAATTAGATAGCAATACTCGTAGTATAGCACAATACTACTCCTATTACCCATACTCTAATAGATCGATCATGCTCACCCTTTGGTAATTCGGCGTAACTTCAAATATGAGTGTGTTTTCGGAATCAAATCGGATGTTGAACATGAAAAGCTAGTGATTTCATACCCAATAGAATATAAAAGAGATATATAATACCCGACTCAAATTATCACTAACCAAAATAATTCCAAATTTATATCTTCAAGCATCAAAATTTATAACACACCATTCAACCTTTGTCCCAATTAAAATAAATCACTTAATTTTATCAAAATTAAAATCAGTATTAAAGTGACAGTTGGTAGTGGATCGTGTAAATCCATCAAGGAAGAAGAAGTAAAAGCTAAGTAAAATAAGTAACCATGGTTAGATGGTATTAGTTCACGTTATAACTTATAATATGCATGCTTTCTTAAACATTTTGTTATGGTTAAAAAGTGTGAAACTAGTGGACCAACCAAAATGGGGTGGTTCATTATGTCCAACCATGAAACATTATTTCGTTAATCTTTTATCATCTAGTGATCAAATGAACCGAACCATAATTGTAACTATTTTGGTTGCTCTACCAATCTGGCCGCTGATGCAGTCTGGTTCTTATAACAAGGATTTTATATAAATTCTTTTACTACAAGGACATTCCCACAACCCCACCTATTTTAGTAAGTAAAAAGGTAATTACCTATAAGGGTGACTATATAATTCCCCTGTAGGCAACAATACATGGTAAATTCTTGAAGTCTTTAACAGCTTCATGAATGAATGAATGAATGACACAGTTGCCAGAAAATGGAAAGTGAAACTGCAAGAGAAAGAGGGAATACCTAATGCTCAAGCTATAAATGCTTTGAAAGCAACATTCAATCGAGGGGAAAAGTGGCCAGACAAAGAGGGAATATCTAATGCTCAAGCTATTGTGGCTATTGTGGAAAGTAGGTGTTTATTGTTTCAGTGTTACACCCAAATGGCCAAGCCCTAACATTAAATAGTGACCTAGCCAGAAATTATTATTACCCTAAGTAGAAAAGAAAGATAGTGTAAGAGTATTGACATGATCTAGTTAGCAGTAGAATAACTAGCTATAAGGATCCATAAATATACTGTTGGATAACAATGGCACATCACAAATATGTTGAGCCCAAAACTAGGGATGACATAAGTATCCGTGGATATTTGCTCGAATCCGATCTAATTGGGTAGGGTAAAATCCATATTCTTTTTTTTTTTTTTTTGCGGATGTGGGTAAAACCCGAATCCGAATATTGTGGGTGATGGGTTGATGTTTTTTTCACTATCCAACCCAGATCCCCCGATTGTAATGTATGTATTTTATCCAGAATTGGTCTTTTTTTTCTTCCTCATATGTAATATTTTTAATATATATAATATTTTCATGAAATTATGTTCTATTCAACTAATTTTCTTTGTTCTATTGATTTATTGTTGTATTTTTCACTTATGTAATTGTTAACATGTTAGTTGAACTTATGAACAAAAATTACTGCCCATGAATAACCATAAATACCCGAAACCCGAACGAATTTGAATATAATTTTGATTTTCTACCTGATTCTTGTGTGAGTAATAAGTATAGCAAAACTCAAATTATTTTGAATAGGGTAGTGAAAATGCACTATACTGACCAAAAAAGTCGGTATTGATTTTGGGTTCTATCAAATCAAATGTCCAATCGGTGACTTGGATGAAATATGAGGGTTGCAACAAAATGGTACATGATGAATGAGAAATTTACGTATAACGAAAGGCTAACTATACATACCGAGTTTGTCTCAGTGTGATACTGACTCTAGTTTGGTTGGTTGATTGATTGAGTAGTACATGAGAGAAAATAGAGTACTTGTTATGTCAACAAAATTGACAATTCATCAACACTTAAACTCGAATTGGAAACAACCGAGTATGGTGGATGGTACATGGGAAGTTGATTGGATGATGCTGTAAATCTATTCATCGTGATTTTTTTTACAAAGTTTAAACATTAAACATAATATTATATGAAATGAGACAACACGATTGTTTTGTTATTATTATTTTAATAAAAAAAATATTGGCAGATTGGCCCTGTGATTGTTAGTTTGTGGTATAAGATTTATTATTGAATCTTTCTCAACAACTTAAACTATTGACAACTGATTCTTGACACGGTCTCAGAACCTTCTGTTGCCGATAGGTCTTCTGTTTGAATTCCAACAACCCCCACTTGTTAAACACATGGTATTTGGACCAGCGCAACTTTCAAACCTTTATGAATCGGATTTTGTTTGAGTGAGCGTCTTAGTATGTGATATAGAATTCGTCGAATAAACAAGGATCAATTCGAGATTTACTATATTTTTTTGGGTTAGGGGCGTTATTTACGGGGAAAAGGGAGTCTAACTCTAATGCACCTTACGATCTATGAGACTATAACTAATTAAGGGTGTATTAAAAGCACAAATTTTTTTAAAATTCCCTCTTGGGTTTAGCTTTGCTTAATGTCCAGCTTAATTATATTCCTTTCACATTATGAGATACAGTTACAACCCCCTTTGTAATTATAGGATATGTTCTCTCTTCTGTTTTTTTTAATCAATGGTTAAGATTAAAAGAAGTGTATTTTTAAAATGGAAAAAACTTACCACACTGAATCATTGACCCATATAAATGGGGAAAATCCTAACTCCTTCCTCTCTCCCGCGGACAGCTCTGCTCTCCCTCCCTCGTGCGTCGTGGCCTGCTGCACACCTGCCGTGCGCTCCAATGTTGTCGCATCCGCACCGTGCCGCGGCCCTCCGCCTCCCTCCACCACTGCCTCATCGTCCCACGACCCTCTGCCTCCCTCAACCTCGTCTCACGACCCTCCTCTGTCTCACTCCACCTCCAGATGCGCCCTCCACCGCCTCCCTCCACCCTTGCCGGTGACATCTCTCTCTTGTCGCCCTCCTCTACCGCCAACCTCATCCACTGACGTCGTCGCCTCCTTTGCTCGCCTCTTCCGGTGTTTGTCCCTCTGCCGCTATACTCTTCCTCCTCCCTTTCATTTTTTAGATCTTTGATTTTTGGATTTTCATATCTGATTTTTTTTTCTAGTGGTAATGATTTTCTTCTAGTAGTGGTACGAGATGGAGTGGTACGCTATCACTACCATGTACCAAATGGTAGTGGTACCAAATGATAGTGGTACGCTACCACTACCATTGGTACTAATGGTAGTGGTAGCGTACCACTAACACACTGACTGGTGATAATTTTTTGCAGGTGGTCGAAGCGAGTCTGATTCAAGAATTTCGCCGGAAAAAATCTGTCGGACGGAGAAGTGGAAAAAGGAAGAGAGAGATAGGAAGAGAGAAAAATGTATTTATTGTAGGATTTAAATTAAAAAAAAAAACATGTATTTAATATAAATTTTGAATTCCCAATGTATAATTAATAGACAAAAAATAATTCATTCATTCATTTTTTTGTCATACCCAAAACGTCCTTGATTGTGAATCTCACAAACTCCCTGTCTCCCTTGGCGGAAGTGAGCATATCCCGCCCCTCTGACATTATTTGCAGGAAACCAAGACGTACGCACATACGTTGTCGCTTTAACATTTAACTTTGTTCGTACGTGGTTTAGAATTAGATAGACTTCCATTTACTTTCTCCTGCATTGAAGAATGAATACCATAAGGGAGGATAAGGTTACATTAATCATATGTAGCGACCAACCGCCACCGATTAAATATTCCAAAAATGAAATCACAGGGCAGCTGCCAGGCCACGTTCGTAACAGTACAGGCGTGAAAGGGATAGCAATTAGCAATGGATCATTCCAATCCATCATACATTGCACGCCATAAATTAAAGAACATTCAAGAGAGCTGCCAGGGTTAGCGAAAAGAAGCAACGTCAATAATAATAATAATAATAATAATAATAA